ACATAATGTATTAATTTTAGTTAGTTGGTTATGTATTTTTTAAATAAAAAAAAAAATTTTGAATTTACTTACTTGTAACCGGAGTTAGAGGCGGTCGGATACTTATGACCACTACTGTATTACACTACAATACCCCTCTGATCATAGTACCCCTGAAATTTTTGTAGAATGTAAAATACCTGAAGTACTATAGAGCACGCTCTACGGTATGCTTATTTAGCTGAAAATATTTATTTATCTAGGCTGACGGATATGTTTTTTAGGGTGAGTCCTTGAGTCTTGTGAATGGTTAGAACATAGCAATTTTGGAGAGGGAATTGGAGTTGGCTGACAGGGTTTTCATTAATAGTAAAATGGTCAGTTTCCAGTTTTACTTCTAGTCAATAATTTCATTTGGAACGCTGAAGGATACTCAGATAGAGTTTGTATCTATGTTGACATTTGTGATGACTCTAATAGTTCTATTACGAATGTGAGTGTTTGATTTGAAGTTTTTTAAGTACATAACCTTTGCCATTTATTGTAGTCTGACCGAGAAGGATAGGTTTATTTTTGATTTGAAGGATTAGTCAGTCAAGTTTGTGTTCTATTGTTCTCCGTTTAGTATATCAATAGAGTTGAAGATCATAAATTTTTCTGATATTGTTGGTAGGATGTTGCAAATTAGGTGGTTAATTTTATTAGCTATTTTGCGATATCTTACAATGTTTGTCATATTTAATAGGAGGTTGATTGGTTTGTTTAGATTAAATTGTTTTTATTTTCTTTGTAGTTTTTGCTAGATTTCTTCTGTTATATTTCCTAGGCAGATGTTTTGTAACATATCGTAAAATTTTGATTAATCTTGTTAGCGGTAGGATTGTTATAGAAAGAGAGGGTAGAATAGTTTCTAAGTTGAGGATTTGAATATTGGGACCCAGTTATGGGTGGTAATTGTACTAGATCGCTGATTAGTACTGTACTGATACCTTCAAAGGGTGTGGTATTATTGTAAATAGTGGCGAATATGTTTGAAATAAAATTTAAGAGTTCTGCGAATACTATCAAGATTTTATTTATTATAATTGTATCGATTTTTCTTAGTTTTTCTTTTAGTTCATTAATGTGGAATGTAAGAGTTTAAAAACTGTTATTAGTTTAAATTATTTTTAGGTCTGAGTGAATAGTATTTCCATTGATGTTTTGTGCAGTAACACTTGTAAGTGCTATTAGAAGATAGTTAGATTAGTTATCATTTAGTTAATTGATTAATAGATGAGTAATGTATGATTTTCTGGTCCCTGCGGATATTGTAATGAAGAAGTATGGTCATCATCGTGCATCTCTTTGGCTTAAGTAGTTTTTTAAGGTAGATCTTGTGTAGTGTTAGTCCAGTGGCAGTTGATAGATATATCTTTAAGAAAGATTGGTAATAGCATTTTTAAGAAATCAAGTTGGTTTCTTAGAATAGATGTCATGTTTTTTGGGATTATATTTATTAGGTTTGATAGTAATTAGTTTAGGATTTCAGTGTATTTTGAGTTTATTATTTGGCTTATCTGCTAGATTCAGTTTTGTGCATTATGTTAGATCTTCTCTATCTCTTATAAGAACATGAATGTAAAACGATCGTGATAGGTTGAGTAGTTTTTCTTTAATTCTTGCTCATTTCGTACTGATATATATTTAATAGTTATTAGTAAAAATAGAGTTCTCTATCAGTTTTCTTTAGGAATTAGTGATATGTTATGATTAGTTTTGTTTTTTAGATAATATAGTTTTTGAGTTTGTCATTGTAGACATTTCTTCTTGTAGTTTGCCTTGATCTATTTTTTTGGATTTGATACTTTTCAAAGTATTGGAGAAGGTGATTCTGTTAAATATTTCTTCTGTTGGTCTATTTATATATTTTTCTATTAGATCCTTAAAATATGGATCTTCATTTTAATTTGTTAGAAGATGAATTAGTAGTACAACTTTAGATCTTCTATTGGAAGGGTTTGTGTTTAGGTATTTTACTTGAATTGAGGAATTGCATATAGTTTTGCCTAATATTAGGAATATGACTTCTATCATTCCTAATCTTTTAGTAATTATATGTTCTCTAAATTTGTCATTTTCTATAATATTGAAGATGTGAGAGAGTTTTGCTTTAATTACGTATTTTGTGATATATTTGGCGAATCCTTTTGAGGTTATGTATTGGGCATTTATGTGTGCATTTTAAATTAGCAAAATTTTGGGATAGTATAGTACTATCCATTGGTCTGAGGATTTTGTACATTTGTAGATATATCAACAGGAGTTTTGATCAATATGTGTCATGTTAGAGAATTGTTTTGAGAATCCCTTTTTGCATTTCTCTTCTAAGAGAATGGGTCCGTTACATTTGAGAGGGTTGCATCGATGAATTTGATATGCTAGAACTTTTTTCATAAAGTTCTGGTTTATGTATTGAATCTGGTAGGTCAAAACATATAACATTATTTTAGATCATGCCTTTAATTGATTTTGTAGTCCAGTAGCAGTTATGTATATAAATGACTCCCTGTTTTAAAATTCTATTCAGTCAAAAAAATCCATTATTATGTCCCATCTGCTTACTTTCTCATTTTACTACACTTTTATTTAGCAATCTAAACTGGTGGATGAAGTGAAGGATAGTATATAATGACCTATTAGTTAGAATAGTATCGCTGTTGTCAGTTTGTCTTAATATGTTATGGAGTTCTGATCATCTACTTTCTGTCATCGATAGTGTAATGAATATTGTTAGAAGTCTGAGGTTTTATAACATTGAGTTGAAATATAATTCCTTTTCATAAAAGTAAAAGTCACTTGTTCTAATAAATATAGGAATTAGGATGGTTAAGTCTTCGTTTATATGTTTTTTATTTGAATAATTACTTTGTTAGATTAGTTATATTAGTGTGAGAATTTGATGTAATTCATCAGTATTTCTTTGCTGTAGTATACGCTAGGTATTCTAGTGATGGCGTAGCTTCTCTAGTTATAAGTATATATAGGATGGCCAATAGTAATCTATTTTAAATCTATGATCGTTAAGTAGTATCATATGTTTAACATATTTTTCTAAAGTTTCCAATCTGTTTTCGTTTGATTGGAAATGGTCTTTTATATCGTGAAAGTGATCTTTGCCATCAGGAAATAAGTGTAGGAATAGGAAAGGCTCAATATTTGAATTGTAGATTAAAATGTGTAAGGAATTATCATTGTCATCACGAATGAATTCAGCTATTAGATATGAATAGTGAAAGTCTTCGTCGTGAACTTCGTTAGGTAAATTTATAGTTAATACGATTATATCACATTAATTTGTGAGTAATGCAAAATCATCATTTGAAATGTGTGTAATAGTTAGAAATAGTTCTGTTAGTCTTATACCAAATTTTTAGTTTAGAATGGTTGTATAATTGCATAGATAGGAGTTGTTTGAATTTAACTAAAGGGTAGATTGTAAGAGATTATCATCAAAAATCTCTTCATTTAAGACATGATTTGGGTTGAGTAGTTATAGGTAGATTCCTATTGTGCTGAAGTATAGTGTTAGTGCTCTAAATTTATTGAGTATCCTATACTTTGAGTAATTGTCGAGGTTTGAGTTTTATCTGAGAAAATAATGTAGATAGACAGGAACAAGAATTTTCTATAGTGTATAGGCACAGCTTCAATTTTATCTAGAATTTTAGCTAATAGTGGAAATTGATATCTACTTTGAGGTTTTGTGTATGAGTTACATAAAGGGATTTTAATGATTTGACGTCTCAGTATACCATATTAGACTAATATGTCAATTTGTTTAATTTGTTCAATTGGGTAGGTTGTCGAGGAATCGTATGTGATCCAGATAGCTTTATTTTTGTATAGTAATTTTTCATAATAGACACAAGGATGTCAGGATATTTTTTTAATATGGTTGATTAAAATTTATTATATATTCATTGAAAAGGTTTGCTTGGTCTTCATAGATCATTGTCTGATAATGTGAATGATGTTTGATTTGTAGAAAGATTCAAGTTTGAGGTATTTGCGTTAATAATTGGATACCAATATTTTGGGATAATTGAGTATTTGTTAGGTTAGTAAATGAATCATCAAAGGATAGGTTAATCATATTTTCAGATGGTATATCTATAGAATATATATCATATACGTGATGAGATATAGTTGATTAAGTTAATTATGGATATCTTTTTTTTGTAAAATTAAGAAGGAAATAAGGATTGAGATAGAAGCGAGAAAGTTATTTATATATTTATTCAGTTATTATTATTTGTTTTATTAAGGATGATAATTATGTTAATTCTTCTGATTATTCTTGTTTGAAAGCAATCATACTAATTAGAGATATAATAATTATATTAGTTTTTTTAATTCTTATTGTTTTGGAATAAGATGATTGTATTGATTCTTTTAAGATGATTGAGAATTTTTTTTAGGTCAAATCGTCTGATTCTAATTTAACAGATCAGTTTATTTTTTTTTGAAGTATAAAGCAAGTTCTAGAAAAAATTGAGTTTAATATATACATTTTTTTTTTACTTATTAGGAGAAGAAGAGAAAAACAATTAGTCCAGTTTATTTGCAATTGAAATTGTTTAACTTATTGTTATTTTATTGGTTTAATTTACTGATTTAGTTTATACTATTTAATCAATAATAATTTTATTTTATTTTATTTTTTTTTAATTAAAAGAAAGTATTTTTTTATTGATAAAAAAAAAAATAATTTGATGAATAATTCGATAAAAAAAAGGATAAAATAAAAATAGTAATAAAAAAAAAGAAAAAAAGGTGGGAAATTGGAAAGAGTAATTTTTTATGTATCTATATATAGAAAATAGTAAAAAATAGTAATAAAGAAAAAAATAAAAAACAAAAAAGAAAGATTTGTGAGTTTTTTTTTATTCAAGCTGCAGATTTTTATTTGAACTTAGTGATTGGGTGTTTGACATGACACTTGTCATATTTGAGCTTAATGATTGAATGTTTGATGTAGTACTTGCTATTGCTTGTGTAGAAATTCTTCCTGAAGATTGTCTAGCTAGTCAGAAATATAGGAATGAGACAGATTCTCCAGTTGGTGATTTGATATTCATTATTATAGACATTGGAAGGAAATTAATATCTTGTATTTCAACTATGTATTCAAGTATTTCATTAATATAGATCATCTCGTCAGTGATCATTAAATTTGAGTTTTTTTTAATTCTAGTTACCTTTTTCTCAATTCGTTCATTAGATTTCAAGTATCTGCATTTAATGCAGAATGTTTTTCCTGTGAGTCCACCTTGTGAACTTCTAGCAAATTCAGTCACGTTTAGCTTAATAATTTTAAATAGGTTATCACTTTAAACTGATTCCATTTCTGCAACGAAACCTGTAAGAAAAATAGAAATAAAACTGATTGACAAATTATTTCAACTGATATTTATAAAGTCAGTTGCATTTGCTATTATCTAGATATTTTTTTAATAGTGAAAGAGAAAATATTTGTTACAAATATTTTTTTTAATTAAATTGGTTAACTGAATTTATTTACTTCTATAGTATCATGAGGGTCTTTTGAAAGTGCGAATTTTCTAGTAAATCTTAAGATATTTCCATTAGCGAAAAGAGGAATCCATCTCAGTACTTAGAAATTTTTAGAAAAAAAAGTAATTATTC